CCTGCTGCCCTGCCCTGCCCTGCCCTGCCCTGCCCTGCCCTGCCCTGCCAGGAGGAATGTAGGGTGAGTGGTTCGTCTTCCTAATATCTGGTTCGGCAACTGCGTTTGGAAAATGGATACAGTGCAGGAGGAATCCACAGTGTAATACACTGAGCAGGGAGCATGTTTATTTCTGCTCTTAGGGCTTGGCCTACGTGGAATTCGAGAATGAAACACAGGCCTCCCAGGCAGTTCTGAAAATGGATGGCCTGACTATTAAGGATCACGTCATTAAAGTTGCGATCAGCAACCCACCGGCTCGAAGACTTCCCGACAAGCCGGAAGCGATGGGGCAGCCGTCCCAAAGTCTGGGTCTCCGGCAGGTCTATGGCGCGTGAGTATTTTTGAGTCCAGAACTCCAGAAACAAGAATGAAAAGGGTTTTATTTAACCTAAGCCTTTTTGTTTTTTTCATTTTGGAAGTTTTTAGGCTGCTGGGAAACAAGTTGGGTTTTGTTTTATGTACTTAGTTTTTAGATTTATTTACAGTGTAACAGCTAGGTTTTTGAAAGAAGGTAATTCAAAGGCCCAGGTGAAACATGGACACAGCCACAGCCACAATGAAGCAAAAACATTTATTTGGAAACTGCCTGAGGGATTAACAAGACAATATGTGGATTACTCAGAAGCAAGTGCCATATAGCTCAATGGGCTATAAAGCTAGGATTGTGGTCTACTTTTGAGAAACTAGCTGTCTACCTGTGCTTCATCACTCAACAATGTCTAGATTTTTATCTTCCACACACATTAATTAAGTGCCCTAAATTTGCTGTATCATGATCTGTTCATTCCAAAGCCGGGGTAAGGGAAGAACCCAGCTGTCGATGGTCCCACGTGCCTTGCAGCGCCAAAGCGGCCCGGCCACTAAGGCAGAGAATGGCATGGTGCAGAACCCGCCCGCGACCCCCTCTCCGTCTGCGGAGGAGCCCAAGAAGATGTCCAACGCAGACTTTGCCAGGCTGCTTCTGAACAAGTGAGCCACTGTCGTCAACCAGCAAAGCAGGGGGTTGCGAAACGCCACCTTGAAGTCACAGCCTAGTCCTTCCCTGTAGTAGAAGCCGCAGCTGCTCACAGCTCCCCTCCGATTCTCATTTGGACTTTACGCCCACCGAACAACACAGGACAGGGAGGCGTTGAGACTGATTCCCCGCCCCCTCAGAGCATTGGAAGGCAAAGGTATTGAGTTGGGGGGTGAGGAGTTTGGTGGAAATGGCTTTAAATGCTCCCTCACATTGAGGGTTAATGTGGTGAGAACTCAGTTTGAGGCTGAATGCAGTAGGTTTTAATGGTTGGTTTTTTCCTGTTCTCCAATTGAAGAGTTTAATGTGAAATGAGCCTTGATCTAGTTTCTACAAATCCCACCACAGCCGCTGAGCTAAGCTGGCCTTGGGCAGCTTTCCAGCACTGCCTCTGTATGTGCATAAACCTTGAACTTGTGGTACTGCCTGTCTCCTCCTGATGTATAAAATTATTATAAATAGCAGATGCGAGAAACTTCACCATAATGGCCTATTTTAGTATTGGGATGAAAGGGTAGGCATTTATATTGACCTGTTTGCTCAAAGGTGGTCTGTTTTTTTATATATATAATCCGTACCTATCTTTGTGGATGTGAAAAGCACATGCCGGTTCTTTTTAAGCCTTCTTTGACCCAGCACTTGGGGAACCCTCCGCACAGCTTCGGTGCATCCTTTGATGTTTCTGTTTGCCAGGTACCTGTAATGGCTTATAGCTGGACCTGTTTTGGTTCTTGGTATTTTTGGCTTGCACGTTTTTTTATTTTGTATACGACGTGAAGTGTGAGCCTACATTCCTCCTTTGGGTTCATTAAAGTAGTTCTTGGAAGCTGAGCAAGTGTTCCTGCTTATTTGACCTGTCTCAAGCAGAGGGCAGCGGGCGTTGCCTTCGCAGGAGCAGAGGTACCAGTGTCTGCCTTTCAACGCTACTTCTACATTTTGAACCTTTGCCCAAGTTTCTTAGCCCCCCCCCCCGGGTCCTCCAGATTTGTTGGGCTTCACATCCAACAATCCTGTTTTGTAGCTAGGCAAGCCCTGGATGCTGGAAAGGGTGAATTGTACCACTAGCAGTGTTGAAAAAGAGGTGGGGATCAGCAAGCGAGGAGAGAGCTCCTGCCTTAGCATCTGGGTTGAGGACTCCCGGAACAATTCCTGAGCAAGTCGCATCTGCCTTGTTGCAGGCACGCTAAGGGTTGCTACCAATCAGGAACAGGAAGCAGGGCGAACACAGAAAATTGCACCTAATTCTCTCCTTGTTCCTGAGAGCAACTCACAGCAGCAGACTTGAAATCTAGTCAACGCCACAACTGAAATTCCAGTGCTTTATGCTGCCCGCCTTATTGGTTGTGTGGAGGTTTCTAGAAGCAAAGATTTCTCTGGTACCCTATTAAGACAAAGCCCCTAAACAATTTGTGCAGGTTCCTAAGCACCAAATTTTTGGAACTGTAGGGCAGGCTTATTTTTGTACAACTAGAAGCTGGGAGGGAAAGCATGCGCTCCTTTATTTTTTAAAAAACAGCCAGAGTCAGGAAATTTCTTTATTGCAACCAACCAAATATGCATAGACTTTGCAAAACTGTGGTACAGAAATACTTTGTCAGATACTGCTCATATTTCAGACACCGCACTGTGGTTGTGCCTGCCAGTCTTCCCTTAAAAATAGGGCTAAGCAAGGCGGCTGCCCTCTCCCTAAAGTCTGGACTGACTCAAGGGGCTAAGGTTTGATCATGCCTGTCCAATGCATCTGCGTTCTTCCAAGAGTGCTGCTTCAAAGGGACAGCCGAGATGGCAAACTGGTGAGCCAAGAATGCGACCAGAAGAGGGACAGGGGCTCATTCGGTGGCCCAGATGATGTGTGTGCGCTCAGTTTGCAGCTTAAGAAAAGCGCACATATCTCACCCTTTTCTCCTTTGAGATCTGAGGCAACATTTACACGTTCCAAGTAAAATAAAAGTAAAGTGCTATCAAACAAGGCTTTTAGGAAGCCCTTCAACTTTGAGTATGTGTTGCTTTATAGGGTTGTTGTTTTTTTGCACAGTCAGTACCGCACCAGAGCCAAAGAGCAAACTTGGGTTGTTCAATGGTTGAGTTCTTCAACTTCCAAACAGTACTCTGCTGTGGTATTGTTCATTGTTCAGTTTCCCATGGCTTTGTTTGTTTTTAAGGAGCAGTCCAAAGCCCCTGGAGCCCGCAGACTTAGCTTTTGGTCCCAGCCCAAACTGAGACATCTTTCTGGAGTGACTCTGCTGGAAAGGGGGCAGGGGAACAGCGAAGGCATAGTTCAGTACAAATACAAGTTAGGTCCCTACTAAGGCACTGGCACGCAGGAAGCCGGTTTGGTTTTAGATTTGGAACCTCAGCCACATTCACAAATGGGGGCAGTTTCAACTGCAGCTTTGCGGGATTTACATAAGCTTCCTTTCCCCTTTCCTAAAGGGGTGGTGTTTGGGCCTCCCCATGTGTTAGTAAACCTAACTACACCAGAACTGCACCAGTTCACTAAGCACACCAGTGAATTCCTGACTGGACTTCACTGGATAAAGTAACAGCCACATTTTCCATATCTGACCATCTCTGGCTGGAAAGTTCACCATGGGTTGGATTTTCCCAGTTAAAATAGCCCTGCTTGACTATTAACCGGCTAACGCTGGCAAGAAAAGCAGTCCTGTGGCATCCTGCTGGCCTGCTCCCTTTTGAAATAAAATTAGACAAGTTACATCAGGGCCTATTATGGGGTAATAAATATGGAGAGGTCACTGTATTAAAAGATTTAACTTAAGACATAATTAAATAAATGAAATGTTCTACAGAAAGTGCTTTTCTAGCTCTTCTCCCTGGGGGCATTGTTCAGGTCCGAGTTTTGAGCAAGATGGTCTGTTTGCAGTCTGTGGTGGCGCTGCCGCCATGTGCTTCGGGAAGGCCCACTGAATGCTCTGTGGTGGCGAAGAGCAGCATGTCGAGGGTTGTCTCGGTACATTTGGCAATCAGGCGGATGAATGGCCGGACGTCCCCTCCATTGGCCACCTCCAAGGCGTGGTAGTACTCTGCCCGCTGTTCCTTCCGGATGGTGATCGGTGGGTAGCCGGCCTGCATGAGGATGAGGTTCATCAAGAGCCGGGATGTCCTGCCGTTGCCATCTACAAATGGGTGGATGTACACCAATTTGTAATGGGCCAAAGCAGCAAATTCAACCGGGTGCAGGCTCATGGCATCCTCGGAGTTCATCCACTGCACAAATTCCAGCACCTGCTTTTCCACATCACGAGGATGGGGCGGAATATGGTGCCCAACAAACACCTGAGTAGTCCTAAACCTCCCAGCTTCTACGGGGTCCACATAGCCAAGCACTCTCCTGTGGATTTCTAGCACGTCAGTGAGGGTGACGGAGCCTATCCTAGACAAAAGGGTGGCGTTGATGTATTTCATTGCTGCGTGCATGCCGATGACCTCGTTCTGCTCCTCCAGGCTCTTCCCGGGAACGGCATACCGGGTCTCAATGATGTGCCGAATCTCAGCGAGCGTCAGAGTGTTCCCCTCAATGGCCACGGTGTGGTAGATGTGGTGATAGTAGGACTCCTCCATCACCCTCCGCAAGGCAGAGCTGCCTTTGGGGATAGACATGACCTTCTGGACCTTGCTGTCAATGATGCTGAAGTACCGCTGGTCGATCTCTTCCACGAGGGGCAGCGTCCGGTCGCGGCTGATCAGGGCCTTCTCGTTGTGCGGGGAGATGGTCAAGGCCTTGGAGTACAGGAAGTCCGCCTGGATGATGTCCTCCTCCTCCTCGGAGAAGAGGCCAAGCTCGGTCAAGGCGTCCACGTAGTCCGGGTCCATCCTGAGCGCGTGCAGGAAGAGCTTGTGGGCCTTCTCGCGCTTCCCCTGCCGCTTCATCTCCAGGGCCTGGTGCAGCGCTGCTCGGGCCTCTAGCCTGACCTCTGCAACGAAGCCACCCCGTCAGAACGGTTCAACGAGGACTGCGCAGAGGCGTCGAGAGGGAAGCCCTCGGACGGCTCCATCCAGCCGGCCG